GACAAAATAATAATAATAATTAAAAAAAAAAAGGCATCGACAGCCTCGGGAATGCAAGGGCAAAGGGGAGAGAGAGCGCAAGGCACCACAGCACACGTCACAGAGACAGACAGACAGACAGCCCCGTGCCGATCAGATACGTCAAATATCACCACTCCGGGACCCTCACTGACCTCTAACTTGTTGCTCCAGGTTCAGTATGACTGATACGGCCTGGTGGAGGATTAGCAGTTTGGTCTGTGGTTTTTCGCTGTTTAGGTGGAGTTGGCACATGCGTCCGAGCTCTTTAAAGGCCTCGTTGATGTCCCGGACCCGCAGGCGCTCACGGGCATTATTGGCGACCCTCCTTTCTCTTTCTCTCTCGGCTTTTTGCTCTGGGGGAAGAAGATCGTCCTCCTCATCCTCATCTTGACTAATGGTTTAAAATAAGAACGAGACAGGGACATTCCTCGCGTGCACTCTCAGCACCGGTCAACTCACAGACAAGAAAACACACACGGAGGCACCCAGATGTCCCCCCGCCGCGGCACGGGGACATGCAGTGACACGGAGAGAAGCATTAAGGCTCTTCCTCTTCCTCCCTTTTTTTTTTTGTATACACAACAAAATAAAGAAAGCACAACACAATTGGTGATGCATCGGCACGGCTGCCCAGGGAGGTGGTGGGGTCACCGTCCCCGGAGGAGCTCAAGAACCGTGGAGACGTGGCACCTGGGGGAGGGGTTGGGGTTGGATTTGGTGATCTGAGAGGGTTTTTCCAACCTGAATGATTGTGTGGTTCTGTGATTAAGGCATGAGCTGTCGCTGGGAGGCGTGTGCTGGTTCCGAGGAGGTGTTGGGGGGTGACCCTGGTGTCAGAGGGTGGGTGGAGGGCAGGAGGTGGTTGCTGGCAAGGAGGGTGACCAAGCTGATGGCGAGGCTGGGGACAGGCCAGCACGCTGCCAGGCTCCCACCTGACCCACTGCCATGTCTGGTTGGCTGTGATGGGGGATACAGGAGCCCAAAGCAAATGGAACAGCAGCCTGACACAGGGAGAGGATGGAGCCTTCTCTCTGTGCCCAGGAATGCTGAGTACCTGTGCTGCCTGGGCACGGTCACGAGCAATGCCCTGAATGAGCACATCCCAAACCTCTGCTTTATGAGCACGAGGAAAACCCACAGCCATAAGGACAGCAGGGCAGGTGGCCAGGAGCTCTGCCTGGCATGGCTGGTTCCAATGCCACGGGACCCAGGCTGTGCTCCTCTGAGGCTGGGCAGGGGCAGAGGGTCTGCACCACAAGGACAGGTCCCAGCGTCACCAGGCTGAGCTCAGTTGCCTGGGGATCACTGTGGCTGCAGCCCAAGCCAAATGCCTTCAGAGCTTTACAAAGTGAAGGGAGAGACCTGTTCAAAGAGCACCTTGTTCTATTCCGGGAGGGTTTCAGCTCCTTCTTCTCCTCTTCAGAGTTATCTGCCACTGATGTGTTCTCCTCATCCTCCTTCTCTTCCCTCTTTATCTCGTTGGTTCCTGAGGAGACGCTGCTTCGCCCCAGCCCCCCTGACAAGCCTGCCAAGGAACACAAGAGGTTGGAAGGGGCTGGGAGTCTCCATTCATGCGGGATCATATCCCCATCTCACCCTTCTGGGGGGGGTCTCCAATTCTGCTGCTCCCCCTTCACTCCCATTTCACCACTCACAACTTCCAGAGCCAGAGTCCACCCTTCCCCAAGCAGTGCAGTGCCCGGGGTCTCACTGTACCCACAGCCAGAGGGGCAGAAACATGCATGATGAGCCAGAAGCCACATTAAGGACCTCTGGGAAAAGTGCAGTGCGTGAACTGGGTTCTGTGAGGAGCCCCGAGCTGGATGTGGGGTGACCCCAAACCCTGGCATCGAGAGGGACTCATGCATGCCCACGTGCAGAGCTGCCTTACCACTGTACGTGTCCTGCTGCCTGTTGAGGTCAGGGAGTGAGCTGGGCTGTGATGGAAGTGTGACATGGTTGTGGAGCATGCTGGGGGTGCTGGACAGCCCGTCTTCAGGGTGACCTCCTCCCACCTACAGCAGAATGAGCAGAGCAAGCTTTGAGGGGTGGAAGTGTCAGGGCCAGCACAGGTCTCCCCGCAGAGCCACATGCCCCCCATGCAGGAGAGGAGCCAACCTGCCCTGGGGGCTGCGGGGCGCTGGGCTGCAGCTCCATGCCCTGCCCACCAGCAGAGCCAAGGGGAAAGCCCTCATCAGTGCTGCCATCCCATGGAAAAGCCTCTCTGCTGGGATGTACTGCTTGCATACTGCACAGGCCGTTCTGCCTGGCTGCACGCATCTCCACAGGGCACCAACGTTTCTGCAGCCCCCACAAAGCCACTGGAGCAAGGGCACCCCAGCAGCACAGACCCCACACTGAAGGGATGAGGATTGAGCAGGCTGCATCCCGTGGGGCTGCACTACGCTGGCAGGGCTTGGCAGCACAGAGCCAACACCCCCATTGCTGCAGATGGTTTGTAGCACGGAGCACACAGCTCTGTACCAGAGTCTGGGGAGCAAAGCACATCTGGTTCTGCAACGACGATCACTCTGGCAGGGACCCAGACCTGCTCAGAACACGTTCCTGTGGTCACCAAGCTCTAGACAGGGGGGAACCAGTGCAGGACCCTACGCACCTGGGATGCACACCCCATCTCAGCGCTCCCCATCCATCACTCACCAGGCTGGGGTGTCGACCCCCCAGGGACATGACAGAGGCAGGGAAGGCCTGGCCCAGGCTGCCCACAGCAGCACTGTGTGCGGGAGCAGAGCCCAGCAGCCCATGCATGTCCCCGTGGTTGCTTGGCATGGCGGCCGTCTGGCCCACGGCGTGATTCCTCAGCACGTGGATGGCTTCGTCCAACCTGTCTTCCATTTTGTTTTGCTGAAAAGAGGGGATGGAGAAAGAAATCTGTTAATCTCTGCCAAGCCAGCGGCCCCATAAAGTTGTGCTTAGGCTGCAGGGACGAGCAGCCTGACCCCAGCAGTGCCACCACCGAGGTGTCACAGGAGCAGCTCTGCTCTGACACAACTGGGCTTGACCCGGCGGTGTGGATGGGGGTCAGGAACCAGTGCCCAAATCTGCTTGACCACATCCCAACAAACATCACTCCTGAAGGTCCCTTCCAGCCCACACCACTCTGTCACCCAACCCTCCCACTTCAGGTCCTGATCCCACCACCCCCAGGGACACAACCAAAGGAGAAGAGGAGCGAGGAGATGTTGCACTTACTAAAGTGTGGAGGCTCCCTTCGTAGCTGGGAGATAAGGCACCCTGTCCGCCCGCTCGAGACCACTGGGATGTGCCTGGAAATAAACAGGGACAGCTTGGGACTGGGCACAGCAGCCGCTAGGTGGGGCTGGAAGCTGGGCCACCACGGCCTGCATAGGGACACGGTAACACTGCATGGGGCCTCACAGGCATGGAGCAGCAGGTTGGTGGCTCTGCACCCGCACACCGAGGGTATGGGCTTTCCTCAGGCACTGAAATGGTTTTGCAGCAGCTCTGGCTGCTTCCCAGTTTATACTGGGTTCATTCCATTAGGAAGGAAAGCCAGGGACAAACTTCCCGAGCCCCACTGAGATGGGGTGCAACAGAGATGGGGCTCCCCCAGGAGCTTGGGGGTGGCAGAGATGCTTTAGCTTGCTCCCCTGCTTTTAAAAACAAATGGCATTTGGTGAGATTTGCCCAAAGCGTAGGGATTTTAAGGAGGGTTTCCATGGAGCTGATCTGGGAAGTGCCTTACAGCAAAGCTTCTGGGCCTCTTTAGACAAGGAACAAGACTTTCACCTACCTGCAAGGCCCTGCGGGGAGCCGACCGGTGTGGAGGGGTTTGATGAGAAGTTATTGCTAGAGTGATCTGGGGAATAAATCTAGAGGGAGAGAAGCAGGGCGCAGTCAGCAGTGCTCAGCTCTGATTTAGAACTCCCCCAGTGCTGCTGCACAGAATGGTGAGTGTCCCTCCTGCCCCACTGCCAGCCCTCATCTACCCCCAGATGTGCCTCTGCCCTGCACTATCCCTTCTTGGTTTCCCACGCTGGAGGGAAGCTGGAGCCCCCCAAAAATACGGAGTGCAGTGCTGAGCCCCTTCAAAGCACCAGGTAGAAGCAAAGGTCCCTGTGCTGAATGGGACAGGGGCAGCCTTGAGCTCTGACAGCCCCATAGCAGAGAACGCCGTTCTCAGTGGGACAGTGCCCTCCAGTTTGCAGCAGCACACGTAGGGACTGGGCACCAGGACCCACTGGTCCCACCATGAGGGCTGCGTGGGTCTGGGTCTGCTCACGGGACTGCAGTAACACCCCGTGCTGCCTCAGGGTCCCCATCTGCTTCAAGGGGCTTTAAGCACAGCGCCAGGACTCGGGGTGGCAGCTGTGTTTGTTTGAGGGTGCAGAGGTTCCCCCAAACTTCTCACGCGTCCATCTTCCCACTGCCTAGATGGTCCTCGGTGCAGAGGGAGGTCTGCAGGGGCAGGGAACAGTCGGGGATGTGCAGCAGCTCTTACTGAAGCTAGTGCCTTCCCAAGAGCATCTCCCGAGCTCCCAGCCGTGGTTCCTCTGTTACCTGTTGAGAGAGGACACGGACATCACTGGCAGGGCACCACAGAGCTGCTGGGACAAGGCACCTCGTATAAATCCTTCTCGATGTGTTTCCCTTTCTCTGAGCAAATCTTCCCCCAGGAATCCAGGTCAGGATGCTCATTTCCCAGGGAACACGAGTTCATTTCGGTAACACGTTTTGTAACGGGCTCAGCAGGGTCAGAGATTAAAGCACCCAGGGGTTTAATGCAGCATCTGAATGGTGCGTTTGGGATTTGGATGAATGGCTTCGCAGCATCACAGCATCTCCAAGTGCTGATTCCACAAGACCTGGGGCTCCTCCCAGTCCCACTCAGCTGCTTGGCAAAGCCCACATCCACCCCCTCCCCGCTCCCTGGGGGCTGCGCAGGCACCCAGGCAGGGCTGAGCTGTCCCCTGTGACACAAAAGGGATCAACAGCGTGCAGATACGCAGAGATGGGCACCTCCAGCCCTGATATTGGGGCTTTGGTTTTCCAGCTTGGTCCCTGTGTGTCAGTAGGGTGCTCTGGGAGTGGGGGGGGGCACGTACCCATCATGGTGTCGGTCCCACTGATCGGCGGCGTGTGGCTGGAGACGCCATATGGGGTGGAGGCAGAGGAGAAGCCTGACACGGAGGGCAGCCCGCCATTCACCTCTCCTGAATGCAGCTGGTAGTTCTGGAGGGAGGGAAGAGGAGGGTTAAGGTGGGTCCTGGAGCTTCGACCACCGACCCGACCCCAACAGGGGGCGCTGGGGGGGACAGCTGGGGACGTTACCATGCGTTCGTGCTGATGTAAACTGTTGAAGCTGGCGGACTGCGGGAGAGGGGAGGAGGAACTGCCCAGCATGGCCCCGTAGCTGGACTGGCTCATGGCACCAGGGGAGCTCCACAGGTCTGGCGAGTTGTGAAGCCCGTCTGGAAAGAAAGGAGAAGCTGTGAGAGGGGTTAGGGGTGCTGGTATGCATCCCATAGCCTGAGCAAGGACGGCATCCATCCCCACTGCACCCTGCAGGGCACAGGGCTGCTCCAGCCCTGAACCAATGCATTGCAATCCCTCCCGTTAGCCACTCCATGTCTCAGCTGCTCACCTGCCATATAAAAGGCTCCGGGGTATACAGTGCTGGGAGGTTTTGAGGGAGTGTATCCAGCCGGATCCCTGCTGTAGTCATCACCTGAGTTGGATGGATACACCTGCAAGGCAGAGAGGGGCGAGGAGCAGAGCGTTATCCCAGGGCTCAGCACAGCCTGCTTGGGTGACAGATGGGGACAAAGCGATGGAGACAGCACTGAGTGGAGCAACCCAGGGCTGGGGATGCAGGGCAGGAGCCCAACAGCCCCTGCCTTCCTGGAATGGCACCCAGCAGGCTGTGCTGGCCCCAGTTTCGGTGCTCTGCTCCAGTTCCCGTTTTTGAGGTTATAGCTTTTTATGAGCAACCACAAACCCCATCGTTTCTGCATGCAAACCCGCGCCCAAGGGCATGGGATGGGTCAGGGTGGTGGTGGGGACACAGCAGGCCTTGGGACCTCATCACTGCACCCCAACCCTGCGCTGTGTCTGCTGGCGAACCTGCAAGGCGCAGCTCTGCTGCACTGCAGTACTTCAATCACACTGCTCTACACCTGCAACAGCACAGCCCCAAACCACAGCCTCCACGGGGACCCCAAACCCCTCCGGCAGCACCTGAGCCCCATTCCGTGTGCTCATGCACGGGGCCAACTGCAAACTACTGAAAATAAGAGGTTGGGGGGGCACGGCCCCTTGTGCAGGATGGCACACGGCACTGCCAGCTTTCAGCCAGCTTTCAGCAGCTCTGCTCAGCTCTGTGATGCAAAAGAGAAGATCTGCTTTCCCAAAATGACCCAAACTCATCCCAGAAAGCCTTTCCAGGGCACCAAATGGCAGCGGCTTCCATTTCTGAACGCAAGAATTCAACACGCAAAGAAACCGAAACGCCACTCGAAATTACGTGAGAACCTTTCCTGCAGGCTATTTTCATCCCCCCCGCCGTTCATTCCGAAACCACAATCTGATTTTTTTGGTTGGTTTCGATGCCCCCGAAAGCAGAGGAGGGCGCGGGGGCTCCAGGAATGCTCCTCATGGAGAGCAGTGCTTCCACAGGATGGGATTTGGGTGCTCTGTGCCCGCACCCCGCACCCAACCCACCCCTCTGACCCCTGGCTGAGAACCCTCATCGGTGAGGGCAGAGAAAACCACTCTCAATTCCCCTGACTGCTCACAACGCTGAGAATTTCTTCTTTTTTTCTCGGATGGGGGGTGGGGATGGATTGAAAAAAGCTCTGAAATGCACCGGTGTTAAAATGAAATGCTTCTTTTTCCCTTTGTGCCCCCGGTTCCTGCTTCTCAGTGCTGCTTCTCTCCTCCTGCTTCCCCTGTGCCACGTGGTTTCCCCCCATACCCATCTCCATCCCCAAGATGAGGCAGACCCCCCCCCTCCTTGCAGTCACCAGCCCCACCAGCCCCCCACGTGGCTACGGGGCTCCTTGGAGAGGGGGGAGGACGGACTCTGCCCTACATCAGAGCTGGAAGCAACTGGTCGACATTTGTGGCAAGAAGAGGGGGAAAAAAGAGAAATAGAGGGAAGGGGAAAACCTGATGGGCGCAGGCAGCTGCCCTCCAAGCTCAACGCCCCCCCCCCCCCCCCCCCTAAACCCCAAAATTTGCTTTCTGCACCACGCTGTGCATGCGGGGCCGGTGGGCAGCGCCAGGTTGGAGAGAGAGCGGGTGAACGGAGGAGGAAGAGGAGGAGGAGGAGGAGGAGGAGGAGGAAGGCTGCGAAGAATTGAGAATCCGGCAAATTGACTTTTCCTCTAATTTGATTAAATAGCGGGAGCTGGGACGGGGGAATCGAATGAAGCACGTCTAATGGGCCCCGCGCCATCTGCCAGGGCTTGGCGCCCGGCCAGCGAGCGAGGCAGCTGCGTGGCTGCGGGGAGGGGGGATGGGGGGGGGGGGGGGGAGCTGAGCAGGGCCCCCGCGTCCATTTAATGCATCCAGAGAGCCGAGGAGGGGAAGAAAACAGAGCGAGACAGAGGCGGCTGCAAAGAGGCTTTGCTTCGGCTGCCGATCCCACACATCCCCGACCCCGTCGCACCCCAAACCCTACAAGTTGTTGTGGGATCCCCCAAAGCCCGAGTGCTTGTCCCAGCGTTGGGGGAACGGCGGCCAAACGCCGCAGGAAGCGGTAAATCAGCGCCA